TCTTTCCTCCCTTTGCCCTTCTCTCTCCTCCTCCCTCCTTCTGCTTCCCTCTATCTAGTCTCTATCTTCTCATTCCATTCTCCCCCCTCCCCTTTTTTAGCATTCTCTCCCCTTCCCTTCCTCCTGAAGCATCCCATGAGCTCCTAACTGAATTAATTAAAAACATGTACATTCCCTGGGTTGCAGAGATGGTATTTTAATAATATTATAATTCCCTGGGTTGTATGAGATGGCAAATTAATAATATTTGTTCGAATCTACTCAAGATTTTGGTAGAAAACAGAAAACCTGCCCAAGAGTTGCAACAACACATCTAAAATAATACTTGTACCATAACACAGAAACCACAAATTATCTCGTTACTAAGAGAAAACTGTTTTCAAATAAAGGCACAAAATAAAGAAACTAAATAAAATCTCGTTTCAAAACGGTAACTCTCTCGGCACAAAGTAACGAAACTATAAAAAAACTAGTTACAAAACACAGAAACCAAAAAATTACCTGACCCGGAGATATTTTGAGTTCTCGATCAGTTCTTCCAGCCAGTAATAGGACTACTGGTAGAGAGGGGATATAGGCCCAAGTCGTTAAAAAATCCGTCCCTTAAGGAACTATATTCAAATATTGGCACAAAATAAAGAAACTATAAAAAACACAAAAACAACAAATTATCTCGTTACTAAGAGAAAATTGTTTTCAAATAACGGCACAAAATAAAAAAAAACTAAATAAAATCACGTTTCAAAACGGAAACTATTTACAAAAATCGGCACAAAATAACGAAACAATAATGAAAACATAAAAATTAGGTTACGTCGTTAAGCATGTCACTAAGCATAACTATTAAGCTAATAATAATGTATATTTCTATATCTAATATCATTTGTAGTAGGACATAGTTCTATTTAATAGATAACCCTGCACTTGATCTAATATTGTTCTTGTGCTGTTTTAGAATAATAAGATGTTTAGAGTTGTAATAGAAAATATTTTATGATTAACGATCTTTGTTTATTAGTGATAAAAGTAATAATCTTTTTCTTATCCAACCTAACTCTCTTTGATTAATATCAGTCAGTGCATTGATATCATCTTTAGTTAATATTTTAGTGAGAGAACAATGAAATATATAGTTCTTCTTTATTTGGTTCGTCGATGTTATTTAATCTTTGTATTTATCTGTACATCTGGACAGTTTTATTTCGTAGATTTGGTCAAAGGGCACGTTTTGGTTTGGAGTCTGCATATATGACCCATTTTGGTCTGAACATATTGGACGTATGATTCTCTCATCTGGAACATTTTGGCTTATGAATACGAGCATGGTACGTTTTGATCCGCAGATATGGCACGTTTTAGGGAGCACATAATATGAACGTTTTTGTTCGCAGATATTGAACGTTTTGGTTCGCAGATATGGAACGTTTTAGGTAGCATATAATACCCACGTTTTGGTTCGCAGATATGGAACGTTTTGGTTCGCAGTAATGATCGCGGCAAGCTTTAATTCGCAGATATTGCACGTTTTGGTTTGTAGATCAAGCACGTTATTTTCTGCCGTGCTACTAATTGGAAACCATCTTCTGAACTCTTTTTAAGATCAAACAAGTTTTTTTAATTTTGCTTTAAATTCAGAGTCACGAATTTGGACAAAATTAGGGGAAAATCTGAATGAACTGAAATTCTTTAGTTTTTATAAAACGTATTTTTATCATTATTGGAACTTAATTCATGTCTTGAATGTTGTATATTTATCTATATATATATATTCTAGAAAGATAAATTATTCATATATGCATCTAATATTATATTCATAAATATAATATTTTCTTACATTCACCAGATACTATCTATACAGTTTAGATGCAAGACAATTACGTACACCAGGAACCCCCATTAGGCAGTATTATGTGTACAGTGTACTGCAGTTTCTAGTAGGAAAGTAAGCTAAAGTTAGTGCTGTGGTGTGCTTAAAGATAGATTATAGTGTAGTTGAATAGATAAAACTTATCTAAAAATTGTTTAACAGTGTATTTCGACCAACCAAAACAAAAGTATCTCTGATTTAAAAAAGATTTAACTTCCTTGCAGGATGATTTATTTCTCTGTAAGGAAGTTCAGTGCATGTTTGCCTTCAGTACACGATATGCTGCATTTAATGTATGGTGTTTAACATTCTTATATGTAATTGTAGAAGGAAAAGTAGAAGTAGAAGTAGAAGTGAAGTAATAACATAAAGATCAAAGCTGAATTCTCTTTCAATATTACATCATAGCAAGTTAATTATTTTCACTTTTTATAATTTATAAAATTTGACAATTTATATGAAAATCATAGAAAATATAACCCGAGGCCGAATTTAAAGAATTTGAGCCGCGGCTTAAATCCACCAAACCCCGGTTTAAATTAAGCGCCGGCTGAAGTTAAATCTTGAAACATTTGATACAATTTTATATGGAACCAACCATATTTAAACCGCGGCTTAATTTTAAGCCGCCGCTCAAATTCTTTAAATTCTTCCTCAGGTTCGTAATCGATTAACAGATCAAAAAATCTATCCTCTGAACTATGAACTTTTGGACGGAATGAATTAAACTGAGTTTAGCAATTTAAGATCATTAAAACATTCCAACACTGATCTCTTTTTTAGGTTGTATCTTCACCATATTTTCATATTTAAACCAATAATAATGATACGATTTCTATATTTTTACTGTAAAACAATTATAAAGCTAAAAGTTTTAAGAAAAAACAAACATTTTTTGTATTTGTAGTAACATGGATTCTAAATAGGCACTGTAAAAAGAGTCTTTAACGTGGAACAAGTGTTAAAAATGCATACTTAGTTTTAAATTTCCCTTCCTTCCTTTGCAAAATATTTCAAGGCCCGAATTAACATTCAACAGGATTTTTCTATGCAATTTTGCCAAGCCACTGGATGGCTGGGGTATTATATATTGCAAATTAACTGATCTAAGGTATAAAATTTTATTTTTCATAACAATACTAAATATTATTAATATACAGGGTTACCCACAAAGGGTATGACTAAAAAGTCTTTAAAGGGACTGTAAGCGTAAATTCTAGTTACCCTACATGGAAAGATCCAAGTCAATGTCCGAATCACAGCGGAGGTTTTAAAGCTTTGTCTGACCAGGTATGAATTCACGCACCTCTGCCCCTTTAGTAAAAGTAAATTCAACCTATATGAAGTATAAAGTCAGACCGCGTCAACCTTGTTGCACCGGCTAGTCTTGTCCATAGAGCTAGGTACCGGGCAAACTGGGACCGGAAAGGTTGACCCGGCTCGAAAATCAAATGTACGACTGCCGGTGAATTAGATATCAATGTTTTTAATTTTAAAAACGGATTATTTTGAATTGAGATTTCTTTACAAAAAGTGACATTTCTTTTAAAGGAAAAATATAGTGATTATCTAAATGTTGAACACTATTTTCCCCAGATAAAGGTTTCAAGGGTATCCCTGTGAATCGAGCATTCTCATAATATCTTTAATTTCTGAATAGAAAAGTATCATTCTGTATTTCGAATCACCCTGTATTTTGAATCACCCTGTATTTCGTTCAAAAATCTAAAAATGTTTTCTGATAAATACTAGAAATATTATTAGCCTGTAAAGCCAATGTTAGATTATCAATAGTTTTTGCTCGGCTAGACCTAAGAAAGTTTGACCTAGATTATGTTCTTTATATATCTATTTAGAGCTTTACGTTGCTAGTTCTACAGAATACTATTTTCAGATTCTATGTCAAAAGAGTATCTTGTTTTGTCCAAGATAAAATTAACGTCTTCTCATTAAAGGGACTGTAAAGGAAAAATGAAAGGGGGAAATAGGATGAAACCTGAGAATCTCATGCTGCGTAGAACGATAAATNTGTAAAAGTTGTAGGTTTAAACAGATTATATTCAGCAAATATGCAATCAATCTAAAGACGATTATATCTCATAGGAGCAGGAGAATCTCAGGTTTGCTCCTATTATAAATTTTCAATTTTTCTTTTGTATTTTTAATAGATATAATTGATAATGCTGTTTCATGTCCGTATAGTCCAATGGCTGTCTGTCTGTATCATGTGACCATTATACTTCACTACCATTAGTTGAAGTTCTGGTGACGGACAGATCGAAAGAATTTAAAAGTATTTATCCTTGCACATTTTTTTTTAATTTACGTTTTTAAATTTTTAAATTTTTTTTTTCGAAAAGAATTGAGTCTTTGCCACAAACTCAAAGTTTCTAATTCTAATATTTTTGATATTTCAAACTTAGACTATAATTTGAAATCATAGTTTGAAATATCTAAGGTCTACGACTCGACATTAGATTGCATACATATAGGGATTAGAAAATCAGAGTGTGTGGCAAAGACTTAATTCCTTTTTCTCTCCATTTAAGTTAAAACAATTTCTTTCTTATATATACTTCGATCTTTTACTTCCATCTTCTTTCCTATATGTACTTCAATTTTTTACTTCCATCTTCTTTCCTATATGTACTTCAATCTTTCACTTCCATCTTCTTTCCTATATATACTTCAATCTTTTACTTCCATCTTCTTTCCTATATATACTTCAATCTTTTACTTCCATCGACTGAGTAAAAGTGTTCTTGAACTTTTATGATTAAATATTGGAATTTATTTTCTTTTTACTTTATCGTCAAATTAACTTTTAAAACTAGTTTTTTAGCGCAAATTCTAACTTTTGACTAAATTGACTTTGTAAGAGTGATATCCAAAGTTGTGTTAGTATTGTAAGCACGAGATTAAATTTCCGGTATTTTTCTTCAAACATTTTTTCCTCATTTGGACCGTTTCATATACATTGACATTTTTTTAAAAATTATAAATATTTAATTCTGGTTTCCATCTGTTTTTATCATATATTTTATGTTTTTGTGCAGCTAACATATATCTAATATAATATCTTTAAACATTTTTACATCAAAGAAGTGTTTGACACTTAGATTTTTTACACATACACAATTATAAGAAAATAAAACTTTAAATTTCATGCAAAGATCTCCGAATTTTAATTAAGTTTTAAATATATTTTCTATGTTTTTACAGTTGATTCACAGAGAAATTAATCTCCTTTATTCATGGTGAAAGGCAATATCTTAAAAGAAATAAATACTATATGTTATCCACTCTAAAAACTAAAATATTCAGTTCTTGGTGTAAAATTCTGCCAATTAATCCTGCTTAAGATAAACAATCAAGCTCTTTGCAACTTGTAATAAACTTTGTAAATAACTTGGCTAAAAAACTCATAGTTTGCTCTTTTCAATCTTAAGTTTTGTTCCAATACTCATAGTGTGCTCTTTTTCATCTTAAGATTTGCTCCAATACTCAGGGGTTGATCTTTTCTATCTTAAGATTTGCTCAAAAACTCATAGCTTTCTCTTTTCCATCTTAAGATTTGCTCCAATACTGAGGATTTGGTCTTTTCCATCTTAAGATTTGTTTGAGTACTCATAGACAGCTCTTTTTTATCTTAAGATCTTCTCCAAAGCTCATAGCTTTCTTTTTTCCATCTTTTGATTTGCTCCAATACTCAGAGCTTGCTTTTTCATCTCGAGATTTGCTTCTATGAAAGCTACAAAGTTTGTGCATGCTCAGCAACGTTACTATTCATGTGATATCTCGGGAAACTAAAGCACTATTTTCTATCTAAGAAATTTACTACGGTATCTTAATTTTTGGTTTTATAACAGTGTTCTTTCAACATTCTCCGGGTATAGTCTTAGCTCTTTCAACTTCTACTCCCGGTTCAGTTAAAGCTCAACTCCGCGCCGGGTTAAGTTTAAGCTTTTTTCTGGGTTCAGTTACAGTTACAGTTCAGGACATGCAGTTCTCCGGTGGTCGGTTTAAGCTCTCCGGGTTCAGTCTAGGCTCTCCGGGTTCAGTTGAAGTGTTCCGGGTTCAGTTTAAGCTTTCCATGTCAAGCTGAAGTGCTTCGGGTTCAGTTTAAGCCCTCAGTTCAGTTGAAGAATTTAGGGTTTATATTTTAAGCTCTCAGGGTTTTGTTCAAGCTCTCTGGGTTTGGTTTAAGCTCTCCAGGCTCTGTTTAAGCTCGCTGGGTTAAGCTTAAGTTCTCCGGGTTTAGTTTAATTTCTACGGGTTCAGATTAAGTTCTCTGGGTGTAGTTTGAGTTCCCCTCCATGGTGCATGGTTTAGGTTCTACTCTCCATGGTTTTGATATCCTCGATAGGACTGGTTAGTTCATGCTCCATTAACCTGCTCCGATCCTTCTCTGTAATATTGGATATCCCTGCTATACTGGAGGGTTCGGAGCCACTGCTCATCATGGGTTTGGTCGACATTGTATCACTATCAACCAAACATCTCAGCTTATACAACCTTTATAGATTTATATATACTCGCAGCCATTAGGGAAAAGTAAAAAAAGTAATATTCTCTTTTGTGTACACTGTACAGACCTATTTTGTGTTTTAATTTTCTTTATGTTTCTAGGAAACGCTTAAATTATAAAAATATCCGCAAGAAAATGTCTAGACTCAATATTTTCTGATAAAAAAAAACAATAAAGAGATTCATTGCCCCCTGGCTTTAATATTAGATAAGCTGATTATATTTTACAACAAAATCTGAATAAAAAATAAATCGTACGATGTAACTTTAGTTAATAATATTAATAGGAAACTAGAAAATGTAAAAAGAAAATAATATATTCTAATAATCTAATAATTTTCTTTATTTAATACCGAGGGGGGGGAGTATAGATATTTCCCTAAAGATACTGAGAATTATACAAGATCCACAGAACAGAACTAGAATTGAACTAACAACTGCTATAGATGTATAATCCGTCATTATTCCTTAATCCAAGAATACTATTAAAGATAGAGATGTTGGTTAATGATATCCTACAAATTGTTGAAACTATAAACTAAGCCTTTTTTGCCGCTCTGAAGGATAATCCGGCGGGTGAAAATGATCTTAGAGTCAAAGAAATCATATCGTTTTTGTCTGAAAACTGGAGGAACTGAACAGTCTTGCCACGAACTCTCATTTTCTAATCCTTACATCTTTGCAACACAAAGTCGTGGATATTTCAAACTATTTATTCTATAAGATGAATTAGTCTAGTAAAGATAAACAGTGGCCGAATTTAACGAATTTGAGCGGCGGTTTAAATTTAAGCCGCGGCTTAAATATGGTTGGTTTAACTTAAAATTGTATCAAATATTTCAAGATTTAAGCCGGTGCTTCATTTAAACCGGGTTTTAGCAGATTTAAACCGCGGCTCAAATTCTTTAAATTCCATCTCTGATTAGATAATTTGAATTTGTGGCAAGGACTCCTTTATCTTTGTAACCTTTCGTGAACCCTAAAAATACTTTCGGTTTATAAGAAAAATCAATCGATCGTTTTGAAAATGTATATGATTAGTGATTACATTAATTATGATTTATCACATTGAACAATCCAATATGTCCAGTAAATGTAAAATATGAAACTTACGAAAAAATAAAGCTATGTATACTTTGATATGTAACTATGGATTTTTCTAGTCTCCAAAAACATCTTTTAGCGGTAAGATGTAACCCTTTTTTCTATTTCGCTACATATGATGAAAGTAAATTTAAAAAGTAGATTTAGAAAGTTTTTCTCAAATCCATTCATCAAAATCCCCTTTTCCTATAAGTTTATTAGATTTGTTAAGAAATAATAATTTGGTCAGCTTATAATTGAATTTCACTGGAAGAGAAGAAAACGCCAAGCTACTCAAAAAGATGGTGTGAAAATCTAGTTTATTACCAGAGCTGAGGCCGAATTTAAAGAATTTGAGCCGCGGCTCAAATATGGTTGGTTTCTCAATTTAAACCGGGTTTTAGCGTATTTGAGACCCGGCTCAAATTCTTTAAATTCGGACACTGGATAATTTTGTGTAGGAAACTCATAATCATTGGCGACACTTTTAATTTGAGAATGAATGCTTTATTCTCTTTATTTTAGTTTTACTGTCCTGATCAAGGCTTCCTTCAACCCCTCATTTGGTATGATTACAATGCGCGGGAATAAAGTTTAAATTAATCTGCAGATGAATCATCGATCTCGGTATCTACAGACACAAAACAAGAGTTCTCAGTTGTTCATTCCAATTTTGGTAAAAATAAGACAATTTGGTATTCTTTGTTTAAAACTTAGAATCTAACCATTCGTCACAAACTCTAATTTACCAACCCCTGTATCATTGCAACCTAACTGGAACATGAAAATTTAAAATTTTTTTGAAGATTTAACAGAAGTCAAAGTTTAAAATATTAAAGGTCCACAACATCAGGTTGCAAAGACAAATGAATAAAAAAGTTGTGGCGAGTGCAATCGGTTTCATTGTTTATTTTGTGATCAATGTAAAATGAAGCATCGAGGCGTATTAAGAGTGCAAACTTGCAGTTAAACATTTCTGAGGAAGATTTTACCGTAAATAAAGACATATATCCTTGAATTATGAATACGGTGTCTGAATTTAATGATTTTAAGCCGCATCTCAAATCCCCCAAAAACCGGTTTTAATTGAGCGCCGGCTTAGATTTTGAAAAATTCAATACAATTTTAAGTGGAACCAACCATATCTGAGCCGCGGCTTAAATTTAAGCCGCGGCTCAAATTCTTTAAATTCCGCCTCTGTTTATAGATCATCAACATATATCCTTGAACTATGAATACTGTAAGATCAAACAGTCAAAGTTTGAAATATCAACGGTTTACACTATTATGATTGCTAAGATATGGGGATTAGAAAATTTGTATTAGGGATAAAAAATCAATTTCTTTGTTTCAAAATCCGGAGATAGAGTTAATGATAAAAAGAATAAATAAAGACGACAATATTTCCACTGTTTTGTGGTTACCACTGTAACCAACTCAACATTTGCATCATTGAATAGTATTCTTGCCTAGGCCGTGCATATAATTCTCTCCTTTGGTTCGGACAAGAGTAGAACTAACTCCGATACTAAACCCTCCTTTCTTCATACACAAGGTTATCTTATAGTTCTGACTGGGTTTGAGGCTAGAGATCGTGTAGGAACTCATCTTGAGGCCGACCTCGATGTTTCCGAACTCCATGGGGGGAGTGTCATCGAGGCTTGACTCGACCCTGAGGATAGAGATAGGCATGAACGAACAAAATTTTTTAAAAAGAACGATATTTTTCGTGAACTATGGTTTCGTTTAGAAAAAATAACGAACAATCAATATACGATATATAATATATGAGATAATATAAGATAATAAGAAAAGTAAAAAAAAAAATAAAAAAGGACTTGAAAAAAGAGCGGTTTTTTACCTTAACGTACGGGTTTGGACTAACTTTTGAGAAAACGTCGTTTATTTTACTGAAAAAAACTTATAAAACAACTATAGTTTTTTACTTTACGAACATTTGATTGAACGATCATTCAGTTAAAAAAAACCAACGAAAGAAGACGATAAATCATTAAATGAACAAAAAAATTTTTCTGAACGTCTGAAAAAAACGAACAAATTCGTCGTTAACAAACGATGAACGAACAAATTGAAAAAAATTTAACTCGACCATCTCTACCTGAGGACGAAGTCCCTGGAAAGGGACCTGGACGTGTTCCAGCTCAGGGTGAGAAAGGTGTCTGCTACAGTTAGGGGGAAGATCTGTATATGAAGCATCTAAATATAGAATTCAAATAAACGCGGTTATTCCAGGATTAAGCTAATTATACTGACTTTCAGAGAGTGTCATGTCTGATTCACAACGGTACCTTAAAAAGGCTTTTGATATGATCAAGAATGACTGAGACATTCATGTGTGTAACTTTGAAAATTGATTATTTCCAAATTATGATTTCTTTGAAGAAACCCTGACGGGTGCCGGCTACAGAAACAATGTTGTTAAGAATTATACACTTTTCACTATTCTTCCATAATTTATTAGATAAAAGTTTAAAAATTCTTATTTTCTAGTCAAAAGATAAGATTTATTAGCAGTTAAAATTCTAAAGAAATTATAAATTTTAAACAAAGTTTGAGATATTTAAAGTTTAATTTTCCTGGGTAAAGTTTGACCTAAATTCGTGAACATTCAGACAAAAAGTTAAAGCATACACACAACACACTCAAACTTTAACTCACTTAAACTTTAAGTTAAACTTTGATTATGCACAAAATTAAATCCAGGCAATGCATTATGTATCTGTATCTGTATCTGTATCTGTATCTGTATCTGTAACTGTTTGTTGTTTAAGAAACTAATGGTGTCTACAGGAACTGTTAAGTATATGGTATATTGTATGCAGCCCAACCATTTGTATAAATAAACCGAGAAAGTAATAAATTTGACCCTCCCCCTTTCTCCTCTTCTCTTTATTGACCCCCCCCCCGCCCCTCTTGGGAAAACTGAGAGAAACCAATGAATAAATGTATTTTGCAGCAACAGGAAATGAGGAGAAGTATTAAACTCGGAGGTGAGGGGGGCGGGGGAGATTACAGGCTAAAAGAGGGTTATCCATTTTCTGTAGTGATTAAGGTAAAGTGCTGAATTGGGGGAGGAGAGGGGGGGGATTATGCTTATAACATCTCAGTTATATTATATATAATCTTTTATAAATGGTTATTTTAAAGAATTTTTGGAAATTCTAATTTGATTTCCAAAGAAGTTTAAAATATTAAAGACACGGTATCATATACTGGAAAAAGTATATTTTCTCTACGAAAAAAAATCATAGTAAAAAGTTAAAAAGTTAAAGATAAGGATTCTTCATAGAATTTATTGATTTTCAGAAAAGTTTTATTTGAAGCCCGCATCTCGATGACGAAGGTGAAAACTTTTAAAATTTAGATTCAAGCGCTTATCTCTCCAGAGAAATTTATTTAATCCTTCTACAGACACAGATAACTATACTTACTCCCGAGATTAAGAACCCAAAAGTTTTAACCCTCTGATTATACCTTGACATGGAGCTGGATACTCCTTGTATCCCGTCCTTTCTCGTTCTCAGCCGAGCAGGAGTAAACTCCTTCATCCTGAGGGTGGAGACAGGTTAGGAATAGGGTTCCATCCTCAACACAGATCCGTCCTAGGCATTCACCCGTTCTCAGGGTAGCTCCTCCAGGCAGGGTCCAAACCACACTGGTTCTGCAAAATAATTAATTTGAGATTTTGCCAGCAACTCTGATTTTATATTTATATCTTTGCAACCTGATGGCGTAAACCTTTTATATTTTAAATTAGATTACTTGATATTACAGAATTTATAGTTTGAAATATTAAAGGTTTACGACATTGTGTTGCAAAGATATAGGAACTAGAAAACCAGAGTTTAGGGCAAAAACCTAATTCCTTTGATGAAAGTTTAGAGACGACTTGAAGATCGTCTTTTTTACCTTATTAAATCAAACCAAAATTCGAAATTCCTTATATCTCAGGCAAATAGCAGATCAGATCATGTTTTGTAAATAGTAGGATTAGAGGAATTTTGTGGTAATTGATTTAAAACTTTCAAATAATATTCTTGGAAAGTAGAAAAGAAATGGGGCTGATAAAGGATAACGATTGATAGAGTGTTAATTCCAATTCACAACGGTACCCTTAAACTCTTTCTTTCAACAAGTATGTTTTAGAGATGGTAGTTTTTGTTTTTGAAAATACTGTTTTTCTTTAATTGTTGTTTTCTTTCTTGCGCAGTTCTTGCTTCAGAGACAGTAAATAATTGATCAGAATTAAACCCTTTTTAACCAAATAAACGACCTTATCTATATGTATTTAGTATTTAGTTTCAGTTCATATCAGTATCTCAAGCGAGAAACACCTAGTGAACTAGCTCCGGCTTTGTAGTGATAGTGTGTACACTGTACTGCAAATCTCAGCAAATTAAGTAAGTACACTTGTACTTATAAACAATCTCCTCATATAAAACCTTATTATTCTTTTCTTTTTTCCCTTTTCCCTTCCTTATTTTCTTCGATTTATTGCCGGGAAAGTATGGCGGGGAAGCACGGTAACAAAAAAAAAGACCCCCCTAAAGATGGGGTTTGTCAATCNCTAGGGAATTCTAGATTGATTATACACACTGTACTCTTTACCACTTCTAGCCATGAAAAAGAAGCTTAAAGGGACTGTTAGCGTAATTTCAAGTGACCCTTCAGGCAAAATGCCTGTTTCCTGACGGTATACTCTAGAAACCTTAAATTGATCAAAAATGTGAAAGATACTGTTGTCCCTTTTGTCACTTTTGCACGGAGACCACAAATGAAAACAAACAGCTGATGAAAAAAACCTTGATATCCATAAATCTATATCTAATGAGATAAAGCTTTCAAAGTAACTGTTGTAAATCGGGCGTTGCAATCTTTGTAATGAAGGTCACTTGAAATTATGCTTACAGTTAATTTCAAATTCAATTAATGATAAGGAGTAGTTGAACTATAGTTAAACTACTTCTCTAATCCATTTTCGATCAAACTACATACATTACAAACAGCACTTAGATCTTTTAGCTACAGGGTGTCCAACGAAACATGACAAAAGCAAGACGACTTAAATGTCGTCGTTGTTTTTTTTACATAATTTGCTGCATTCATTTGGAATCACAAAATTCCCCTGGCTCCTGACATTCCCAAAATGTGGTCTGCCTTTTTTGTGAGTTCATAATTACCCGAGACAATTTCGACAATTTTGGTTTTTTTAATCAAAATTGTTAATTGATATCTGACAGCATATAAAAGGCAGACCTCAATTTGGAAATGCCAGGACAAGGAGAATTTTGTAGTCATTGTTATAAGACTGATTGTGGCCAATTAATTGTATTTATTAATTCCACCCCCCTCCATCCTTTTAAATAGGAAGCTATAATGAGAGCTTAGTGTGTAAAGTATTCAGCATGGTTAAACTTAAACTACTTGTCTTAACTTTAATTAGTTGGATGCTTGGAAGAAATGTAGAGATGGGCGCTTTCCGCTTTACGTTCGTTATTTATCAATCGTTTAAAAAGTGTTCGTTTAGTAAAAAACTATCGGTTTTCAAAATCTTTCGGAGAATTCGTTCGTTCAGAAAACAAAACTCTCTTTTTTCAATTTTGTTCGAACAACCGATTTAATTTTTTTTAAACGATAGTTTTTCATTTCCGTGAACAATCCCAGTCGTTCGTCCATCGTTCGTTTTTTTTGCTGAACGACACCATTGTTCATGAAAAATTTAGTTCATTCTTAAAAATGTTGTTTGTTTACAAAAACCATGTTCATCTCTAGGAAGGGAGGAATACTAGTTTAATCCAAGAAATGTAAATACCATTAATCCCTTACTTCCAAACTATAATTTAATTTTTAAAGAAGTTCGGTAATCCACCAGTATAGAATTTAAACTTTATTAGTGTTAAGCGGATATATTAATACAATAAAAGACGACTTTCCATAACGTTTTTAAAATCGTAAAACAATAATATTTTCAAAAATTGTCTTATAAAATAATAGTAGGATAATGTTGCTATAATAAAACATTTAGAAATCTAAGGTTTTCATTGCTAACTATTATTTGGGGTATTCATCCTATGATAGCAAAATTATATATGGGCTTGTAGACAAAACCGACGCAAAAGAAAATTGTCATTGATTACCTGGTCGTCCCAATGCTCCTGCACACGTGGGTAAAGTTCTGCCCGACATCTCCGATCCAGGTTGAAGGGAAGAGAGGAAGGATAAATGGTTTACAATCTAGATCTGTTGGTCTCATCTTAACAAGTAAATTCTTCTCCTCCCCACATCTAATCTCCTTTCCATCCTGGATCTTGAAACCAGAGTCATTATTTTGAATGTTTCTCTGAAGCCATTGGAGCCCGCAATGACATCGGAGGCTATTACCCTCAATAAAGAGGCTCCGTAATGAGGGTATATAAGGTTGGATATCTTCTAGAGCGGAGAGATTATTCCTGGTTATATCTAGAGCTACAAGGTTGGGTACTGATGATACTGCTCCAGGGTGGAAGTAGACCAGGGAAGGATTGTTGTTCAGAGTCAGTGTCTCCAGGAGGTTGACACTACTGATACTATTCTGCTTCAGAGTAATCAGGTTCGGACAATGAGAGATTGAAAGGAACCTGACAGGAATCCGCTCCATGGCTCCGGCCTCCATTGAGGTCAAGAGGATACCGTCCAGGATCAGGGTTGAAACCTCGTTCAATTTCTCCAAGGCAGAGGTTGGAATTTTTCTTAATGAGTTAAAACCGAGATCAAGATAAGTAATGTTTATCCCGAGTAATGTGTTTTCGTCAATATCCATGAGAAAGTTTCTTGAAAAGTCAAGAACTTCAATCTCCGTAAGATAAGATAAGCTTTCATCTGAAAGTAGAAAAATAAAAATAAAAATAAAAGACAAATTTATCTTTATAAACTCCACTCAAGGAAAGTAAAGAAGAAAATCTACTTACAGTTCTGCAGAATTCTACAGTTCTACAGTTCTACAGTTCTGCAGAATTCTACAGTTCTACAGTTCTGCAGTTCTACAGTTTTACAGTTCTACGGTTCTACAGTTCTACACTTCTACACTTCTACACTTCTACAGTTCTAAAGTTCTACAGGTCTATAGAGTTCTACAGTTTTCTACAGTTCTACAGTTCTAAAGTTCTATAGTTCTACAGTTCTACAGTTCTACAGTTCTACAGTTCTACAGGTCTACAGTTCTACAGTTCTACAGTTCTACAGTTTTACAGTTTTACAGTTCTACAGTTCTACAGTTTTGCAGTTCAACAGTTCTACAGTTTTACAGTTTTACAGTTCTAAAATTCGACAGATTTCTTTAATTCTATAGTTCTACATTTCTGTTGTTCCACAGCTCTCTTTGTGAAGCATATTCAAAGGAAGTTACTCATTTCTTTAATTCTGGGATTTCCAAAGTGTGGTCTGCCTGTTGTAGTATCTACCCTCCGTAATTATTGAAGTACATATAATTTTAATTCCTATGTTTGTTGAGACCCTGTATACCTGTTAGCCTGGAGAGTCTATTGTTGCTTAAATAAAGTTTCTTAATCTTCCCAAAGCTGTGAACTAAATCCTTCGGTAATTCCTGAACAGAAATAAATAAATTTATCCAAGAAGAGATAATCCACTCATTAACCCTTTGCTGAGACTAAAACTTTTGATAGCGCTTAGCCAGGAGCCACATCGACTCAACTATCTTTATATTCATAGTGTAAACTTATAAATTGAAGGATGTAAGTCCATCCATGTAAAATCCAATAAAAAAATAATTGTAAAAAGGGTTGACGACGTGATAAAATAAAACCACCAAGGGGTAGAGCTGGGCATGTTCAGACTTTATTCAAACCGTTCGTTAACGGTTAGTTAGAATAGCTAACTGTTAGCAACGTTTCAGTTAGCCGTTAGATATTCATTGTATTTTATTGTATGATAAAATAGAATCAATAATTCAATATTACTATATGTATGTTTACCTTTATTGTATTTTATTGTATGATAAAATAGAATCAATAATACAATATTACTATATGTATGTTTACCTTTATTGTATTTTATTGTATGATAAAATAGAATCAATAATACAATATTACTATATGTATGTTTTTATCCCCTTTAGACCCGATAACGGGATAAGAAGGATTTACTGAATAAGAATAAATATTCTTTATTAATTATTATTCTGTCATCTTACAGGAGGGGAGGGGGGGGAGTCGGCACCCACCCAATATTTCTTTTGTCTATGAATTGCTCTGATTTGAAAAAAAAAGTTATTTAAGGAAAATCTTTAAATAATATCCTAATAATATCCTAATAATATCCTATAATATCCTAATAATAACCTAATAATATCCTAATAATATCCTAATAATATCCTAATAATAACCCTTTGAAAAATGGGTACTATAGTAAGGTACGTTAAAAAACGAATTTTACCAAAAAATATTAATTTTGAAATTTTAAAGTTAGTTAGACGTATACAGGAATTTGTACAGGGGGGGTCGGGGGCTAAGCATTTTTCACATTCAGAAAAGTATATCACACAAATATCATCAAAATTTAAAAATAATTTCATTAGTTCATGATGCAATTACACAATTGTAACATCTTGGTACAACAACAAAGTTGATTCACGAATTTTCTTTGTCTGAAGGAATCTAATATTCTGAACTTGTTCTCTTTGTTCTTCAGAATATTTATTTTGAATACAAAGAAAACTAAGAATAGGATCAAACGGACCCCTTGAACTGGAACAATTGTTGTCGCCTAAAAGTTTTCGTTTTATGTCTGAGAAGTTTATTGCTTGTTGGCGTAAATGGTCTCCCCTTTTTTTGTTATTATAACCACTTTTCGGAAACAATCAATCTATGGAAGATATATAGAAGCCTCTAGAGGATTATTTTCATAGAAATATAAACAATCTTAGATATTGAAAAGGGATCAGTGCAATAGGTCGGAAAATACTATAAAAGGTTCTATGTGAGAAATAACATTATCTTATATACAGTGCAAAGTTTTTACAAAGTGCAATTAGAGAAAAACTAAGGATTTATGTTTGTTCTCAAAATTTTCGTTCATTTTCTATCTATTTCGTTAATTTTCTCCCATGAACAATCATTCAATAAAATCGTACGTTTAGTAAAATCGTAAGTTGAGTAAAATCGTTTGTTTAAAAAATTCGTTCGTTCAGTAAAAAAAAACGATCGTTTTATGAAAAGTTTGTTTTAAAAAATCGTTCATGCCGTAAAAACTATTGTTTCTAAAAGATTTTGTTCCATAAAAATCGTTCGAGAGTAAAATTTTTTTCAAAATCTGTTAAAACTCATATTCAAGGCCTAAATTGTCTGTAAGTCAAAAATGAGGAACCCATCCTCTTTTACTTTTAAAGTTCAGGCAAAGTTCAGGCTGTTGTGAATGTGATATTTATCTTATGTACATCATACATTAGATATTCAGTATCCAGCTAAGCAATATTATGAAAAGTTAATGATACAATGAGATAAAAACGTTCTGCGTCATTCGTAAAACATTGAAAATTCTGTTTTTGTTTAAATGTCGAGTTATCTGTTTAGGCCTGGCCACGTTCCAACTTTTTCTAGCTGTTTCGTTAACGGTTAGTTCCAACCGGAAAAAAATAAGATTTTCAATTAGCCGTTAATTTTACAGGTAAGAACGTGCCGTTCGTTCCGTTAACTGCATTTTCCGTTTTTTTTTAAATTATCGTCAGTTAATGATCTCAATTTTATTTACGGCATTAACTGAAAATTTTCAACAATCATTAACGGTTCTAGCCGCTAAAGGTACCGTTATTTCAAAATTAACGACGCAATGCAATTTATCAGAATATAACGAAATTTACCGTTTTTAGCTTTTTCGTTAACTATTTTAACTGTTAATTTTTTACAATAACGGATAATCCGTTTTAATAACGATTTACAAATTAACGATTTTTTGCCGTTCGTTAACGGACTCTTCCGTTAAATTTCGAAAACCTCCGTTTCGTTAGCGGAACTTTGCCCAGCCCTATGACTGTTACCAGCAGTGAGGGTAAACTTTTCCAAATACACTGCAGACCTTGAAAGGGACTTATAGACGTAACTTCAAGTAAACATTAATTTACAGAGTCGCATATCCGATTCACAACGGTACCCTTTAAACATTTTCCTCAGTAGAAAATAATATTGTCGTTTTTATATCTTGAAAAGTGTTAAATTGTAACAATTTCTCTTGTTGTCTCTGCTGCATAAATCTAGATTAGATTGGTAGAAAACCAATATCATATTCAACTTTAATCAGACTAATGTGAATCCGCCATTCCACACATAGATTCAGTCTACTTATAAAAGTCATATAAATTTTTAAAGTGTAGCAACGCCTCGGGCTTTATTTTACCACTCTAACTCACTTATGCTTTTCTTTAGATCTTTACATGTACATTATAGCACAAAAAAGCTCTTGTTGTTAGCTTTGGTTTTTAAGAAGTAATTGGCAAAATTCTCTTATAGATTTTTGCTTTAGAGCTTGCAACCTCATTTTAATTTCGTCTACAGTCCCTTAAACAATCTGGCGGGAAAATAACATTTTAAATATTATTCAATATGTTATGCAGGATTACCATTACACGGCTTAGCTACTCGTGTAATGAATACGCGAATGAGTACATCTAATGACAGAAACCAAGTGCCCTCATTCTGAGCATTTTATACTAATCTACAGTAAACAGTGCTCTGATAGTAATCTAAAAAATGAAACAGAGTTTTGCACACTCTCGAAAAGATTACAGTGGCCGAATAAAAAGAATTTGAGCGGCGGTTTAAATGTAAGCCGCGGCTTAAATATGGTTGGTTCCACTTAAAATTGTATCAAATGTTTCAAGATTTAAGCCGGCGCTTAATTTAAACCGGGTTTTGGCAGATTTAAACCGCGGCTCAAATTCTTTAAATTCCATCTCAAGTCTCATTAAATGTCGTAAACAAGTTCTGGAAAATTTCCCCTTACGACTTTATTCTATTTATCTACTAACTTACAGTCACCAGATTTTTTTTGTGGGGTNAGGCGAATCTGGGTTCCCAAGCTAGTATTATTTATCAGTGCAGACTTCACCTGTATAGTATGTTGTAATTTTCATTCAAAAAATTATCAAAACAAATAAAAAGAAGAAATTTTTCTCTTTTTATATCTTCTCTTTTCAAAATCAGAATATATATATTATTTATAATTGTATTACATCAACAAATTTTAAGAAAACATCAATCTTCCTTAAGCCTCAAAATTGAAGTGTACTATGTAAACTCGAAAAGGATGACGTCACATTTATTCCAGAGCCCGAAATTTAAAAGAGTATCGTTGAACGAAACTCCCGAGTTTCCTTTTTGGGGTCTTAACATTTGTGTAGATTTTTATTTAAGATATTTGAAAAAAATGGAGAATATGAATAATTTCAAAACAAAAATATTGATCATTCACAAAACTGCCTAACCCCATTCGTGAAACCCGGGTTTTCACAATGATACCCTGTCTCAAGTTTTGGGCTCTGGAGAATCTAGAATATTCTAAGTACAACGCAGTTTTCAAAACTTCTAGAGAGTAAATATTAATATTTCTTATATATGAAACAGCGCGCAAACATAGTGTTCAACAATTAAAAGAGTTTCTTTAGATAAACAAGGAAAAGTTATCCTTAATCAGTCAAAGGTTTAAAGGGTGAATTGGAATTACGCTTACAGTGACCAGTCCCTTTAACCCGAGGTGGCGGGTATTTAGCAAACTGTATGATAATGTTATTGAATATTATTATTACCTCTATATTGTTGAATGCTAGATCTAGAATATTGAGTTTAGGAAGGTGAAAGGACTGCTGAGATATTGTATGAATATTATTGTGGGAAATATTTAGGTTTATCAAACCAGGGAGCTGAGTAAACACGAAGGCGTGCAGCACCTACAATTAATATATATATATATATAAACAGTCATAACCAGAAAACTCCAAAATAGGAAAACGACTTTGTAGCAATACTTAAGTGTTTTTGATGTACAAAGCAAATAGTTTTGCTAGACACTTATTAAATCACAAATCAAGTAAAATGGGTCTGTTTAAACTGAACAATTTCTGGTTCCCGGGCTTATTGGACTAACAAAAGTCATAATTTGAGTTTAAAAGTCGTCTTTCTATTCCACAGTTTTCTGGTAATCACTGTATATAAATAAAAAGTAGCCATCTCCGTTTGTCCGATCATAACTTAAGAACCCCCTGACCAATTTGCCTCAAATTTTTTATTGAGAAACGTTTTGGCTTTTCTAATGTCTAGGTTAAGTGTGTCGACTTTGTAAGAAAAACTCTAGGCATAGCCAGGTTCCCAAGCTATGCAGTATCTATAAACGTGAATTTATTTGTGTAATTCAAATCGAGCTATTTTCTTGGAATGAATTCTGTTTAAAAAGACAAGTTTCTATAATTCATTTGGATCAATATCACAGTTGTCGGAAGGTTTCAACGCAGAACCAGAAATTGACATTAAATGATGTACCGCCAATAAAAAATTTTGGACGGCCCGGAAAAAAACTATGACATTCCATCACACAAAAAGTTTTGCTCACAGTTTCTCCCTATTTGTGGAATTTTCAATCTGAATGAGAAAACCCCAAGAAAATGTGTCCAGAATCTCGATGTAAATGTAGGTTAAACTTTTTCTTTTACAGACACAAATCATTTCGAAGAACTTGTACCCTAACAGTACCAAACAGAGCATGAATTACACAATCTAATCGTAAAATCAAGGAACAATTTGTTAAAACCTTTTTTAAAGACAATAGTATAAAAAGATTTTTTAATTTTGAATTTCTATTTTTGATATTTCATTTATTACCTGAATATGGTTGTAACTAAGATCAAGGACCTCAATCTTCAGTTCCTTCTCCGAGCCCTCGACAGCCTTGATTCTATTCATGCTGAGATCAAGCCAGGCTAGGTTGGGCCAGCGTAGTAAATCCGCCAAATCCAGGTGTGTTAGGTTGTTTTCCCGCATTTTTATATCTGACCGGTCTAAAGGCTGGAGGGGAAGGAAAGAGTATCCGGATCCTAGAGCAGTTGAGAGATTAATGATGGATTCAAATTCAATTCTCTCTCAATAAACTATACTTGAATTCAAATGGACAAACGATGTTATACCTTTAAAACCGGATATTGGAATACATCGGAAATTCATTTGTAACTTTGAAATTGTGGTTGACAGGGAAGAAATAAATATATAGTAACCTGTACAATCTATCTGCTCTCTGCTGCATGTACAGTGTGGAATACAAGTTGGAGACATTAGAACACTTGTCGAGCCCAGCTGGGTGGAGAGGAACAGGAAGCATACCACCAGCATGTTCAACATCCTTCATGTAGTCCTCTTCATAATCAACCTATAATTCTTCTCCTACTGGTTTGGCAAGTTATTGTATTACAAATACAATTCAACTGTGCTCTCACCACCTTGAAACTACCTACTGTGTTCAAGGACTATGTGTGATTGGATCTTCCCAATTTTTCCCATGACGACTCGACTAGTGAGTTTATGTACAAATAAATTGTAATTGAAAAGTGATCATGTATGACTGCATCCCGCAATTTTTCTTTTACCGGGTTGACTAGTTTGTGTGTGTACAATAAACCGTACCATGCCGTGCTTAATTCTGCCTTGCCGTGTTTCAAATAGGTATAATTTGTTGTACACAGTAACAGGGGTCGTGTATGATTGGGTTGCTGATCAATCTAATCTATCTAGGTTCTCTTCCAGAGACAAAATACATCTTTTGCTGCCACATCGTATCTCTAATCCTTGAAGTTTCCCCTGATTAGCAGGTCCTGCCTGAAAATTGGATTATCATTTTACTGGGAAAGATTTTATCCTTTAATTTCCCGCGCCATTATCTCTGCCCTGCCGAGTTTAATCTCGGATAAGTTTTCATTATATAGGATGTCCCACGAAACTTGACAGATTATTTGATGGTCGTCTTTCATATTTGATACAATTTGCGGCATTCGCTTTGTAAACCTAGATTACGTATATGATTCTATAAATCACAAAATTCTCCTAGTCACGGAACTTCCAAAATGCGGTCTGCCATTTTTGCGGTGTCAATAATTTTGTTCAGCTTTCAATTTGTTGTAGAAATTGGAGGAAAACTCTTCATATATCTGGTAATATTAAAACAGACCACATTTTGGAAATATCAGGCTAAAGGTGACAATAAACAACTCTAGAATTACACTCTAAAGTTAGGTTTACGAAGCTAAATGCCGCAACCTTTTCAAACATGAAAGACGAGTCCTGTTGGTCTTGCTACTGTCATGTTTTGTGGAACACACTTATGTTTCCTCCACAGTCAAGACAGGATCACTTTTGTACCAGATTTAAATAAGACTATACACTTGATAAATGAATCTGAGTACAAATTTAATGAATTTAAGCCGCATCTCAAATCCACCAAAAATCGGTTTTAATCAAAAAGAATAGAATATATACTGGAGAAAAAGTGTAAAACGGCCATTTTGTTGTACTGTTTCAATACTGCAGGTGTACTTCACATATATGCGTTATATAACCTTTTGGGCCCTGGAAAATCTAAAATTAATATTAAAAGAAACCCAAATTATTAAATAGGCTGGTTTTATAATTGACCAATGATCATTTCACATAGACTCTATGCCTTTCATTTTACAAACGATGATTTTCCGTTATAACTATAAATCAAATGATGTTTTTATTCACCTAATTCATTTTATAAAGTTTTTTTAACAGCTTTAAAAAATTCGAAATTGAAATGGATAGTCGAGGTACCATAATGTATTAATGTACTGTACTGCATATAATTTGTGAACATTTACATGATTTGTACACTTTGAAAGGGACTGACAAAATTCATACCGAGGGATTTCTAAATTCCACTCTAATATATATTCTATTCTCTTTGGTTTCAATTGAGTGCCGGCTTAAATCTTGAAAAATTAAATACAATTTTAAGTGAAACCAACCGTATTTAAGCCGCGGCTTAAATTCTTTAAATACGGCATCTGTTTAACCTTTTCCACACGAGACCAGTATATAAGTTAATGTATTTAGAGTTTGCAGTTTTATATATTCAATATTCATCCTATTCCTACTTTTATAGATCTCTCTCTGATCACCTAATAGATCCGTAATTTTGAATTAAATGGATTTAAGCATTTTGAATTGTTCGATTTTTTGTTGTCATCTTCTTATTTGCGAAATTGCGGGGTGCAGAGTCTTTAAACTAGATCTAAATTTTCCTCTTTTATTTAAAACTCTCTCGGACTGAATACTTCAAAGAGACTAAAAAATTTTAATCCAAAATGTTAACTCTTCTCTTTAAAAGTTCCGAGCTCAGGAAAAGTTTCTATTTTTTCACAACTAACCTAATAGTCTCACTGGGCCTATTTTCATTTTTATTCCATTTTCTGCCGGAATTTTATAAATCTGCGAACTGAATTATTTAAATTTTCTCAGAAAATCCAGATAGTTAGGGACGTAACTTGTCTATGTCTATATATTTTATTGATATTCCAGGAGGGGGGGGGTCAGCACCTCATGAGGGCTCAACCCTAGCATAAACTTTTCCATTGACTCTAGCCAGTCGGATGATGATAAAATAATCCAGAAAAATCAGAATCATTATAAATAAAACATACAGCTGTGTACTTAAAGTGGAAATCTATTCAATGCTTTAAAGTAAGATTTGAGTTTTTTTTTCAAATATTTATGATAATAATGCAATCACAGTGATAGCTTCCAGTTCGCTGACAAATTACCCGAAACAAAGAAACCCTCGCGAATTTAGGTATTGGAAATTAAAGGTCATCAATAACATGCACTCGTGAAAAAGATTAGAATAATCTTTGACAGTACAAAAGTCCTTGCTTAACGTAAATCTGTGAATAAAAACAATGTTTAAACTGTTATTATTCTGTCAATTAAAACGATATTATCAGGTGAATGTACAGAATTATTTTTTTTTTACCTGAATACTAAAAGATGTTCTTGAATCCCTTTGAGATGTTTTAGTTGTCTTCCTTTGGAGATTCTATTCGAACACCCTTGGCTAATCTTTTTTTATCCTTTGGAAATGTTGTCATCCTCATGGCTAGTAATAGTAGTTAAATGTTTATATATAAGAAGAAGAGGCTGACCTCCTGAGTGTTGGCGGGTTCTAGAAAGACTGAGGCTGGTTTGAGGCTGCCACAGTGTAAAGAGAAGGGGGGGGGGTGAAGACAACGGGAAGCGTATTATTCTCCTTCAATCAATCAATCACCCCATGGTTTCATTGTTCTCATCGACTACTTACTGATGGATAATAGGAGTGCAAGATATTATGTATGTTTAAACACTGTAGTGAGGTTCATATATAGAACAATGGAGGTTAATAGATACATCAAGAATAATAAACCAAGAACCCCGGGAACGTTAAATAAAGTAAATTGTACGTTAGATCACTTAAATTCAGCCTGCTTAAAAGAAGGGTCGACTTTGAAGTGTCGTAACGCCTTGGGCTTTGATTTTACCGCTCTACTTCACTTATGCTTTTCTGTAGCCCTTTACATGCACATTTTAGCTCTACAAAGCACTTGTTGTTTGCTTTGGTTTTAAAGAAGTAATTGGCAAAATACTCATCGATTTGTGCTTGAGAGCCAGCAACCTTTAAATGACAGTGAGATTAAAATTTTATACGTTTCCAATCATAACTCCCTAATATTGAAATCTCATACGTTTTCAATCATAGCTCCCTAATATTGAAATCTCATACGTTTTCAATCATAGCTCCCAAATATAAAAATCTCATACGTTTTCAATCATAGCTCCATAATATTGAAAAGTTATTGAGAAGAACAAATATTTTTTATACTTGAGTTTAAAATCCAGACTAGAGGTTCTACGAGTTCACAAAGTCAGACCAGTAATGTCACATTCATTTGACCTTCTCCTTCTGTACAGTTTTCAGTGCCCATATCTTTGTAACAAAAAAGTGTACTGCATATTGAAAAAGTGTACTGCATATTGAAAAAGTGTACTGCATATTGAAAAAGTGTACTGCATATTGGAAAAGTGTACTGCATATTGAAAAAGTGTACTGCATATTAATAGAAACAAACTCAACCTGAGAAAGACTGGGGCTAAGCAGTTTTGTGGATATCAATATTTTTGTTATGAAATATTATTTCATTTAGAATCTTCATATTCTCCATTTTTTAGAATCCCTTAAAAAAATTCTACACAAATGTTAAGACCCCTAAATTTAAATTTTGGGCTCTGAGTTTGTTTACATTTCTACCAGAAACTGCAGTACATTAGTATTTGTGTAGATAAAAACAAATTCTGTTGTAATCTGAAATAATTTTAAACTTTACTTTTTTAGGTATAAAAATGGCTGGACTAGACGAAAGTAAAACTAAGGTGAAACAAGAAAAAATATATTATCTTCTTATATTCTCAAAAGATGGATTAGATACATGTTCAATTAGTAATATTATCTTTTTCTGGATCTGCAGGAGTTCTCCCTACACTACTTCTCCTACCTTCTACTACTAATGCTTAGTTGCTCAGGAACCAACATTTAGCATTACACAGAGATTTTTGATGACAAGGACTTTTTAATAATGAAAATTACAGAATTTTGCATAGTCTTGTTAAAACAAAATTCAAGAGTATACAAAGTTCTTAGATTAATCTTAAGGCGAGAAAACACAAATGTTTTTAAAAAAATGGAAAAAATAATCTTTTGTCTACATGAAAGTTATTTTTAAATCAATTTGTATTTGATCGCATGTACCGTACTATAACGCGTTGTTCTGTACCAACCCATCTGTATGTACACCTTATGTACCGCACAGCACTATCTTACTTAGATTGACAGTAGTAATATTTACACAAGGGTTGGGCAAGTTAATTATTTTTAATTTCATTTGTTGAATCAATATAATACAGCGGACATTATTTCAAAACGGCCATTTGGAACATTCGTGTTAGAAATGGGTCATGACCCATGTTTGGAACTAATGTCCCCTGTTATAGGTCCTGTCTGTAATAGATGCTTGTTTTTAACTATAATTCTTTCTGGACGTGAACGAAAATTTCCGTCAGTGAAAATTACTCAATGAAAATTCAATTTTAAAACCAATTTTATAATTTAATTTAGGTATAGGTAGTCATATGCAAATTAATATAATTGATTTTTAATAATCTTTATCAAAAGGATCGGATCGTTTAGTTCTTTCGTTCTGAATTTCAATTCATTTCCAAAATTGTTCCATTTGTTAGCGGAATAATTTGACCTACAGTAATTATAGAATAGGAAGACGACATTAAATCAAAACTAAAGAGCATTTGATGTTACAAAGAAAATATCTGTAGTAGGGAGTTATAAAACACTTATTAAGTGAATTGGGTCTGTTTACACTGCACAATTACTGTTCATTGAACTTGAATCTATTAAAAGTCGACTTCCTATTCCAGAGTTTTCTTGCAATCACTGTAGATTACAGTGAAATCAATACAACTGTGGATTTGGAAGATGACTCAAAGTATAATCGCAATAAATACAAATATAGGCTGCTTAAATGTCGTCTTTCTATTCCACAGTTTTGAAAAACCTCGCTGTATGTAAAAGAATAGATGAAAGATCTTGAAAACAAGAATGGTGTCTGTAAGCTGGAGGGGTTAAAAGTGATTTATAGAGGAGAAAAGGAAAGGAAGGGCCGGGGGTGGGGGGGAGGTAAGGAAGAAGAGGGTGTAAATTTGGCGAGGGGGTTAAAAGGACAAAATAACATAGAACAAAAATACACTAGTTCCGCCTCATCATAAGTTTATTGCACGTTTTGCCGACTGTTCTACATCTGATGCATAAATTCTTGTTTACAACTTCCGCCCAGCGAGAACTGGTTTCAAAATAAACGCAGACTATACGCAACTGCAATTAACTTTCCTTGCATTATAACCTTGATTGCATGTTTTGTCGACTGTTCTACATTAAAAAAAAGATAGAATGTCGTTGTTTAAACTTTTATAGACTGTCTGATGTAAAACTACGGCTAGAAGTATTGAGAATTGGAATAAAAATAGAACGAATCGTTTTTGGGATGCCGAAAATTTGGGAACAAAAAAGCACCAAAAAAGCAGACCACACTTTGGAAATGTCATGACTAGGGATGTTTTTAGATTATCAATTGAATGATTTTACTTATAAATTAGCTTAACAAATGAATGCTGCAAATTATTTCAAATATTAAAGACGATCCTCGAATAAAGTATTTTAACTGTCAAGTTCTTGATTTTCCACTCGTTTTGCTAACTGTTGGACTAATTAGTTTTAGCAAAGACACATCATGCTAACATCAGTTTAGGTAAATTTAAACTTTTTTTGTATTTCAAAAATCAAGTTTTTTTTGAGTCTCATCAAAATAAAATTTTTGAAAAATTTATTTTTCTTTGAACATGGATAAATTTGATCCCAAGATACAGAGTGTTTCCATAAATATTAAAATCAAATCGTCTTTAAATTGGTGGTTACGCATAATATTCTACACTAGCTGAAGTGTCCAGACAAAACTACCCCCCACCCCCGTCTTAGAATACGTACAGGGTGTCCCAAAAAACATGGGAATTCAGTGACGAATTCGATATCGTCTTTGTTATAAATTAGCATTGTAATACCTAATTTAAAAAGCCTTAATATTATTATGTCTGCTAGAGTTTATTTAATGAAAAGGGTAAAAGACTGCAAAGATGTGTCTATAATGTCTCCGCAAGATGAACAGTGAATACGGACAAGTTTACTCTGTTTGTATACTGTAATTTTCTTGTTTTACTAAGTACAGCCGGTTGCAGTCAAAACATAAACAAACAAAATGTAAACATAGCAGACGAAACTCTTACAGATTACAGCTTTCTCAGTAGGTATCACTATACTAAATCAAAGAATTATTCATAAAGACGATATCGAATTCGTCACTGAATTCCCATGATTTTTGGGACACCCTGTACAACATTTGTGTGGTCCATTTTTTCCGTTGGATCGGAGATAAAGATTGAACTTCAAGTTGTAATTTTCCATATTCCTTGGGGTTCTATTTAATTGATTTAAGCCGTGTCTTAAATCCACCAAAAACCAGTTTAAATTAAGCGCCAGCTTAAATCTTGAAACATCGAATACATTTTTAAGTGGAACCCGCCATATTTGAGCCGCGTCCTAAATTTAAGCCGCGGCTCAAATTCTTCAAATTCGATCTCAGTTCTAACCTGAACAATTATCTAGGGTATATCATTAATTCTCAATCAATGTCAGGTGTTTACAGAATACCGTGCGAATACAATCGCTTTAAAATGAATGATAAATGATTGAGGAAAAGATGAAAAGATTAGACTAAGCGGGGATAAATTGGAATTTAAAACCTTGTTCAATGAATTTAAAATATCCTCTGATTGAGAATAGATGTACTTATCTTTTAAACTTTTACTCTTTACAATATTCACCAAGCTTTAAACTTTTATGAAAATAAAATTTCAGGTGACATCTTATTTTAAAAGATGGATTCCCGATTAACATCTGTACTCTTCGTCTCATCAGAAATATAGAAGATATTGAGTTTTAAAGTGTTTAATTCTGACAATTTCATCCATCATTTCTGAAACAAAGGCGGAACACACTTTACAAAAAAACAACCCCCAATTTGAAGTAATAAGTTTTTAAATAGAAAATGATAAATACCAAAGCTGTAAAAGGTCCGGTTTTGAATCGACCATACTATTTTATAAATGGAGAGTCGGTTGAAATTATATTTTCAGTCCCTTTCAAGTTTCTACTCAATTGTTAATGTTGCTCCATTAACCGTGTCCAAACCACAAACTGTAGATTTATATATGTTATTATGTTAACTCGACATGTCTCAGAAAATATATGGGTTCACCATCTTCAGTTCTTAAAGGGACTGTAAGCGTAATTTGAAGTGATTTTCCATGGAAAGATGGCAATCATAGATTTACAACGGTACCTTTATCTCATCAATAATGTGGAAGATATTTTTTTAGGTTTAATTGTTTTTTAAAAGTCCCTTTAAAGGCTTTAATCTGATAGAAAATGTGGAAGATACATTCGTTTTTTTTCATTTTAAACGTGTTTATTTTTGTGAAATTTGCATTGCTTCTTGTAAGCAAGAAGTGCGCAAGTTACGTTGGCAGAGATCTCGGAAATTAAATAAACAGTTCAAAGAAACAAAATCAGGCATATCAACTTGATACTATTTAGCTTTAAGGGTACCGTTGTAAATTGGGCATTGTATGGGCATCTTTGAATGGAGGGTTACTTTATATATATTACTCTCACCCAGTCCTTTTAAAATGTGTTTCTGTCATCAAAGTTCAATAACTCTTTAAAACGTTTAAAATTTCGTTTTAATGCAAGACTAAACAAGTTGTTAAATGCTAAATTCAAGAAAATTTGTTTCTCATACAGTGATACCCATAAAATTTGGAATAGGAAGACGACATTTAAACAATATTCAGATTATTGAATATTGTTATAAAGGAAAAAACTCCCATAGTTTAGAATACCAAACTTTGATGTGGAATAGGTCTGTGTACAAATTCAATGAACACATTTTACAACTTTTGTGTTTTATATGTTTAAGGCCTTCAACTGGAGTCTAACAGCCATCTCCATGTTTCACAAATTAATGAGTCCTATACCCGTGGATTTATTGTTTTTAACCGAAAAGGTTACTTACTTCATAGCTTAAGGCACTTATAAATAAAGAGTTACTTACAAAAGATGTTACTTCTAAATCTTGTTTATGTCAGGTATGACTGGTGAACTAACGGAAGAGCTGTTTTCTGGTTTCCGGAAAATAGAATCGGAATATTATAAACATCCAGCCCAACCTGCGGATACTAGAAGGTGCAATCACTTTTTTAAAAATTAATTTTTATCTTGAGGTTTCGGATCCAACAAACGGCTAATTTGATCGGTTTTACTTGTTTTGTCGTGAATCTTCGCCACAAACTCTAATCCCTATATATTTAACATTCAATGGTAGACCTGAGATATTTCAAACTATACATAATCTAAGTTTAAAATATCAAAGGTATAAACCATCAGCTGTTTCAATGATATAAAGATAAAAATTTGAGTTGAGATATTTTTGGTTTTCCTCGTAGAAATCGACAAATAAGATATTAATGCGTACATTTTTGGATGTTAGAAAACTTTTAAGAATCATATAAATATATTTCAAGGGACCAAGTTCTAAATAAGATGACACTTACTTTGATCATAGTATTTGTGCCCAAACCTGACAATCAGTGTCAGGTTTGGAACACAAGCACGGTTTTGAACTTTGATCCCCTATATTTCAATATCCTTCATTGTTTTTCTTTAATTTGCACTTTGTCTTCAACTATCTATATATTAGAGAGAAAAGGAAATTACAATGTCAGCAGACACAGTTTGCACTTTTTCACTCAAACTTTTTATCTCTAAATAAATACAGTTGTAATCATTATCTGTCTGTTTGTTTGTTTGGATGTCCGATCATAACTTTGGGCCCCCTTGACAGATTTCCCTCAAATTTTTATTTTGGGAAACTTTAATAGAACCGATGGGAAATGTTCTTACCTTGGTTAAGTAAAGGTTGAATTTTTTAGGGAAAACTTTAGGCAAAGCTGGGTTTTCAAGCTAGTGTAATATAAGTGCACGGCAAAGATGTATTTATAGACTATAGTACACGTTGGTTAATAATTGAATAGATCATGGTTTGATGAATACTTTTATAAATTCAATTAATTAATGATTAAATAGATTTGATCGTGAACAAAACAAAATTACTTTATTTATATAAAACTTTGCTTGCCTCCGATCCTTTATATATTGTTTCTTATAACTGCTAACATAGATAACGAATTCACATGACAATTGAATTTTACTAAATTATTTATAACTAACTTGGAAACCCGTCGATCCACTCAAATCATAATTTTTAAACCAGGCTAAAAACATTCGCGGGGTTCTATCGTGTTCACCAATAAAAAATATGAGACAGATCGGTCTAGGGGTTCATGAGTTATGATCGGACATACAAACAGACAAACGTAGATTACAACTTTATATACATAGATTTTGCGATAAATTTCATATTTTCCCTCTATGGAAACATTATAGTGGTTTGACCATATCTAGAATAAAAATCTAGCACGATACTTAAATGATAAATATGAAAAAGTGAAAATATTAATCTCTATATTTTTGATTCCATATAAATAGTTTATTTACTACATTTTTGATTAGTAAAAAATACCATTTGAATGTTTTTTGATCCTAAAAAATTGTTAAAATATTTATTTTTTATTAAGAATTTCGATTTACGTTTTTTTTTTTAGATATTTCGATCATAGATCAACTTACCCTGCGAGTAGTATTGCAGCTCTGGGTAGATTTAAAAAGTTTTTAAACTGGCAAAATATAGAAGATCAAGGGATAGATGGGTAAGCTAAGCGGTTATAAAAGAGATTTAAAATTTAAAAAGATTTCAGACGTATAATGATTAATGACAGCTCAAAAACTACAGTTAGATACATACAACTTTAGAATGGGAAGACAATGAAATTCTATGTATATTATGTTGTAATTAAGCAAGTAGTTTTTCCATTAAATTCAAAGTTAAACCAATTGAGTAAAATAGATATGTGTACATTGCACAATAACAGTTTGTTTTAGTTGCACTGAAGTTTTATTGTAAACAACAAATTGTATGATTGCTGAACCTCTGTCCATTTAAAATCTTAAAAAAATAGATATATTATGGAAACAACCGAAGATTCCAGAGAGCTGTTCAAACTTACATGTATAATGAGTGCATTGGATGCATTGCATTTAATTATGGAGCGTAGAGAGCAAGGTACTAATGCAAGGAAAGTTAATTGTGGTAGTTCACAGGCCCTCAAGAATTCATCTAAAATGTTTAATTTTTTTTTAAGAGTTGCATACTGTCGTCTATATTGTACCAACCAGTGATCACAGAGATCCAGACTGCCTTGAAAAGTTGGATCACTTTACTTTTCAGGACATGGGTCAGCTCGGTATTTGATTTTCCAATTACTATAAAGAAGTAATTGGAAAAATTCGCTTTAAATGGAATTTTTAAAGGGAATAACTATCTTCTCCCTTCCAGCTGTCATCCTAACCATATAACTAAGAATATACCGTTCTCAATATAAACTAGGTGTTCTATCTTTTATGCATAAATACTTTTATGAAAACCTTCCAGCTTCCTTCCAGGATATGTTTAATTCTTTAGCTGAACCAAATAGAACAAAATCATATAAACTTGAACGGGTTCTCTTTAAAACTCTAGAATGTTTTCCCTCTGCAATATTTCCAAAAATATGGAATTCGATTGAATTAGAGCTGAAAGAAACTAAATCTGCAAAATCGTTTAACAGAAAAGTCGCTAAGATCTATTTAGATAGTTATGCAAATTATATCTGTAAAAAAAACTCTGTATCATGTGGATAAACTTAGTCTTAACTATCTTCTTTACCCTGTATTTCATAAACATGATTCTAATAACTTATGTTACCCTCTGTTCCAACCCTTACGCTGAGTATCCTCCCTTTCCCTTTGAGTTATACTCCCTCACCTCCTTTTTACCTTTTTCCTGATTTATCATCATTCTTATATTTAAATTGTACAATGTACATTGTTTTTATCTGCAATTCTCATTCGATCATAGGGGGCCATCCAATTAAAACAACCTACTCTGTTTAGGTGGGTCTAAACTACATATTAAATTGTGATTTTTTATTTGTATTGTCTAGTGCTTTGTAGTTGAATAAAAATATGAAATGAAATGAAATTTTTTTTGAGAACTTGGAACCTTTGGACTACTGAATAAAAAAAAGATTCTCCAGAACCCTCTACTATGTTACCCAGGCTGTAAACTGATGAGCTAAATATTTAAAGAAATTTTATATTTTGCAAAAGAACCCTAATTCTGTGAAAATGAATAATTGACAGATCAGCATCCTTCAATGAGGGAGGGATGGGAAGCCCCGTATATGCTTTATCCGAGCCACCCTAAAATGTTGAAACTTGTTATTCAAACAAACGAATTCCTATAATTGGCAAACTTTTTAAAAGACTTTCGTTAAGCCAATGTATTTGGGTCTATGCTAAAATAACTTATATATGATTTATTACTTAGGATACAGTTTCATGATTTAAAGATAAAATAACTTATTTATGATAATTAGGTCTAAGTTTCATGATTTAAACATAAAATAACTTATATATGATTTATCACTTAGGTCTAGGGTATCATGCTCTGAAACTTAAAAGTATTTTACATAAGAACTATTGCAAGCATGAGCATTTCAAGGTGGTACGGATGAGAAAATGAAAATAATGCGACTCGAATGAAAAAAATAATGTGGTATCCTGCCATCCCTCCTTGAACCACTAGACTAGGCTGATACTACTAAAAGTTTAATAATAATATCGAAGATATATTTTCATTTTTTTAGATTAAATATAAATCAATGATCTCAATCAATACCGAAAAAAAACAGTTTGAAAACAATAACAACATTAAAAATAAAAATGGTAAAATTAATAATAATTAATATGATGATAATGATAATAATAATAATTATGATACAAATAATGATGATATTGATAANAAATATCAAATATATACAAATGTGGCGAAAGATAATCGATGACTATATGTTGTAATATCTGAATGATTTGTTTGATATCAATTTGATTTTTTTTTACGGTCTAAGTCGTATGTTCCAACAAAAACGCTTTTTTATCCCATTAAGCCTATACCCCCTTTCATTTTTCACGAACACTCCCTTTAACCTCAACCTTTTACTTTCCAACTTGATTTACTCCGTTAATTTACTTTATTTTTCTTCGACAGTTCGAACTTATAAAACACTTCGCAGTTTTTAGTGAACATGCATGCTGATTCAATAAAGCATAATTAATGGCATGTGGTTACTTCAAAGTGGGCCCAGTCCTAAAATTTGATATATACGTATATCAGAGCTCCACTAGACAGATGGAGAAGGTCAAATGTATGTGATATTTCTGATACACCTCATAGTTTCTCTATTTTAATTTTCCACAAGAGTATTAGAATAATTGAAAAGTTGATTGACATATTAGAAATTCTAAACAATTTTTTGATCTAATTTGTTATAATTGAAAACATTTAGAATTTTAACCCTAGTTGAAATTTACTTTAGTTTGGTGTGATTAGCAGAAGTTTTGACATGTAAGATTTCAAGCTAACTGTGATATTTGTTTTAGTTTGGTGTGATTAGCAGAAGTTTTGACATATTAGATTTCAAGCTAACTGTGATATTTACTTTAGTTTGGTGGGATTAGCAGAAGTTTTGACATATTAGATTTCAAGCTAACTGTGATATTTACTTTAGTTTGGTGTGATTTGCAGGAGTTTTGACATTTTAGATTTCAAGCTAACCGTGTTATTTACTTTGGTTGGACGTGGACTGTCCGAACAAGGTTACTCACAAAGGATTAGACTGAAAAGACGACGTAAAGATCTTCAAATAAGACAATCTCAAGTTTAAATTAACTATTTTGCCTTGAATTTGAGCTGAAATGTTTCATTTAATGGTTTGGCGAAGTTAAAGAAAAAAGTTGCAGAGAATCATGATTATAAGTAAAAAGGCAAAATACATAGAGTCGTCTCTGAAGTCTCATCCTTTGTGAGTACTCCTGTATCACGGTTGGCGAGCAATCGGTTCTCCGGAGATCAAATTAAAAATAATATTTTTTATTTATATTTCAGGGTCCGTGAACTCCCCTTATTTACGTGTGCTGAGTCCTGCCTATGGAGACGGTGATATCCTGCCCCGTGGTGTAAACAAGTTTAATAAACAGTTTGGATATGTTTCAAGCCTACCATCTCCCAGGCATATTTCAGATGTTATCATGTCGCAAGGAACTGAAGAAAACACTGAGAGCAGGTTTATTATTCATCTTTTATGTTTTAACTTTTAGATTGATTAGAAAGGTATATTGAGCACATGTAACAATCTTTAATTTTTCACATCTGATGCTGTAAACCTTTTGATAATTTCAAACTTTTTAATAAAACTTCATTCAAAGTTTGAAAATTTGAGTTTTAAGCAATTGCTCAGTTTCTTTACACAATTTATAACTTGAATAATATTTGGGAAAAATAAAAGATATAATGTTTGACACAAAAGTATTAATTTTTTATTTTTCAAACTGTTTCTCCGATGACACAAAAAAAATATGTAAGCATTAGACATTATTTTATTTTTTTTCTTTAATAATACTTTAGTTTATGGAATAATCGTCACATTTATGAAACTCGAAATACTTTAGTTTATGGAACTCGAAATACTTTAGTTTATGGAACTCGAAATACTT